CGGTGCCCAGCCCGCTCATGTCCGGGGAGCGGAGCCCCGCGCCGGTGCTGCCGTTTCCGGGCGCGGCGGGGCCGTTGGGCGGCGGCTGCCGGAGCGGGGCTGGCGGGCGGGGTGAAGCTGCCCCGGGGCCGCCCTTCCCCGCCCCGCGCCCTCCGGAGGCGCCCGCKGCCGACGGCATCGTGTTTTGGGACACCGGAATCTTTCTGTTCCTCTTACCCCGGGCTTGTTTTAAACTGTCCGTGCAGATACTCGGCAGGATGTAAAGGCTTCTGCCACCAGCCCGAGCTCTCCGCTGSAAGGGCAGCACCCCCGGGACGCCAGGTGCAGGGCTGGGGGTGTTCTGATTGCTGGGCATCTCTCACGAACGTTTGGCTTGGAAACCGGCTTGTTTCAACGTGCTCCATTAGTATTAATTTCCCCTGCTGGTCTTGGGTGCTGTAAAATCTTACAAACTCGGATACTTGGTCAACTCTCATTAGGTCACAAGCCAAAATTCCCAGCTTGTTCTGTGACTGGATCCAGTAGCACAGRCTGCGGTGGAAACAGCACAACTTTACACTTGAATGTGAACACTTAGGGAGAACTGGAGCAAGCGAAGTCAATGAGGGTGGGTTTTGTGTGAACTTGTAGTAAACGTCTCAGAGAGACTTATTTCTTGGATTAATTCTTTCCTTTTGTGTGAAACTAACAGCATGTGTGACAAAAAAGGAAATGAAACCTCCAGTAATCTCAAAAGCCTTCCGTGGTGGGGGAAAAATAATTTCTAGCCTCTCTTACATTATTCTTCTGATTGTTAACCAGATTTTTCTGAACATTCCTCATCCGCTTTCTGCAGTAGTTTTTAAAGTAAGTCATTATCGGGCTTCAGAATGCTGAATCAGACATAAATGAGCATGTTTCTTCTGTTACCTGTGTGTCACCAGTTAATGTATGTGATTTGCAAATTGCTTTGCTAGCAATAAGGATCTATGTGGGTAATCTGTTTTTAAAATAAAACCATAAAATGTTATTGATAAAAATATAAATTCTCTCAGTAACTTAGATATGCATGTTTCTAATCTGTGTTACCAGCAGAGGTGAAAGGTATATCTTAAGGGGAATTGTTGTGAAATACAGAGATGTGGAATTAAAGCACAGCAACTTCCTTATTGCACCTCATAACTCAAAAAAAAACCAAACAAACAAATGAAGAAACACACTGTGGAGGTGATCTTGCCTTCATGCTGGCAGGCTGGTCTTTCACGATTTGTTTTGATGATCTCAAAGGTTTCTTCCAGCCAGAATCATAGTTCTATGATTCTATTGATAATATGGGGTTTTAGCTATTTTTKATGAGAACAAGCTATAATTTTCCTTCATCCTTCCGTAAGTCACTCTGGAGGCCTATTTTTTCTCTTCTCCTTTTCATGGATCTCCAGCCTGKTTTTTGCATAGTAAAAGCTGATGGTGTGAGAGTGTCAGCAGGATCAGGGTATTTGTAACAGCTAGACTCMTCAGTGACACACATTTGCACAGATGACTGTAGTTCCTTGGTTGAGCACCGCAYTTCATGGGATTTATTTGAACTCTCAGTTGATTATTCCCAAAATTCAGGGTATCGAAAATAAAACTCCTCATAGCATTCCTGAAAAATCATTTAGTGTTGTTCAGCATTCACGCTGAGTGTATGATTCATGTGCCGGATAAGAATGTGCTTTGTACTCACTGTTACTGGTGTCTTGAAGCCACCCAAGCATGAGCAGTCTTTGTGTGGCCCTAAATGGGAGTATTTATGGGGTAAAGCTGCCCTGGAGTGTCATCTGGAGTGGCAGTTTCACTTTTTATTAATGTTTATTTTCTTACCATGAATAACACAAAGAGGAAAGGTGAATAATACACTTGGGGTTAATTAGAACTCTGTGTTCTAGAAAAGTATTGACCCCATGAGAACAAATTTAAATAAAGATCGGAGGAATTGAAACAAGATTGACTTCCCCAGGAATTTTGTGAGAACATTCTCTAATCTTGGGGTTTTTTTTTCCAGTTGAGAAAGCTTTTATGACACTTGGAAATGTTTCAATGAATTTTATGGATCRCAGCAATCCCAGGTGGAAAAACAGGAAGACAGACGTGCTGAGAAGGAGAGAATGGATGATTCTACCAGAGCACAACAGTCACATGCAGGGAATGAGGTAGGTTCCACTTATATATCATTTGTCCAATGTTCCTTATCCTCAAAAGCAGCAGCCYTCTGTCTGTGCTGAGCATTGAAACCAGTGCCAAATTCTGTTTCCTAGGATGCTGGAGGTTGGTCTGTCAATTAAGTAACACCATCCTTTTCCCTGACACCTTCTTTTACATGGTTCCTCTTCCTAAGACCACAGCTCAAAAATGCTTCTAAACATTCAGGGAAGTTGTGAATGATTGCTTTAATTTTGGGGGGATCCCACGTTTGATTCCCCCGATGCCTTGAGCTGCAGCCTGTGCAGCGTGCTGGCCACTCTGGCTCAGTACAGGAGAGCTGTACTGCACAGGGGTCCTCTGCAGCCACGCCAGGAATGTTGCTTTGGGCAAAACGTAATCTTTAAGTAGCATGAGAAAACTTCACTTAAGTCTATGTAGAATGTGTCTGGTACAGGATAAACGTGTTTTACCAAGTTTAGGAGCTGGAAAAGCACCAGTCATTTGGTAAAAGTGACTCTCAGGAGGTATACCAGCACAGCTTCTGAGCACAGAGCAAGTTGATTTATTATCAGTTGGCTTTAATCCAAAGGTTGGCAGGGGTATTTTTCATCTGTTTGTATTTTTCATCTTGCAGACCAGAGAAATTACTTAGGAATAGTTGATAGAAGTTTTAAGATTTGTGGTTTTCTGGGGMGGTGAAATAGGCCAAAATATTGTAACAAGCTATATGGACACAGAAGGAGCTGGGGGTCTATAGAGTATTAGCAAAGCTAGTGTCTGTTTGGCCTCTCATTCAGYTGGAGGGAGAGCACTGGCCTTTGGGAAGGGCCCTGGGAGCACTGGCAGTGACTGTGGTGTGCTGGCTCTGATGGGATCCCTGAGTTCAGCTGCACTAGAGTGGTAAAGGTGAGGCATGAGGCATCCTTGCTAAGCTGCTTTGGGATAGAAGTTCCTGCAAGAGACACCACCCCAGCGCTTTGCTGGCTTCTCWGTGTTGCACCCTGCCTGGTGCTCAGCTGTAGCTTTGCCTAATCCATAATTTTTCATACCTGTGCATGAAGTGGGAAGAAGGGAAAGGAAAAAGACAAGAAAAATCCGTATCTCTGTATCACAGTAAAGGAAAAGTTTCTTCTGGTCCATGCAGAGTACAGGAAGGGCTGGTATTAAATTCCTTGTCCAGGAGCTGTTAGAGTGTACTAATTCTTCACCCTTAGATGAGCCTTCCTTTAATTCAAGTGAAAATTTGTGAGGAAAGTTCATTCCTTAACTCAGGTACAAATGATTAATCCAGGCATAAAGGTAATGCAACCTGTGTCTGAAAACTGTTTCTCTCTGTCCCTTTATTGTGGTGTTATTGGGATCCCAGACCAAAAGCAAGCATGTTTAGATTTGTTGGGGAAGGAGAGAATGTCTTGGAGCTCAAACAGAAACATAGCAACATGTTCCACGGTAGGTAAGAGCAAAGAGCTTCGCGGGATTGTTTATCTCGTCTCTTGARCGAGCAGGAGCGCAGCTCCCCTTTCCGGCGGTCTAATCCCGTGCGCAGCCCGTTCGGGTGGAAGGGAAGGGAAGCAAGGCAAAGCCACTGGCCCTGCGGCTCCCCGGGCACCGGGCCGGAGGCAGCACCGGGAGGAGGAGCGGGGCGGAGCG